CCCCCTCTCCCGACCCGACACCCCCCCTTCAAGGTAGTGCGATTACACTAAGAGCGCCACCGCCGAGGCGACAAGTGTTCACTTTTTTGCACTCGACATTCTGCAACCCCTTGACGGGTCGTATCGTCTTCCTGAATATTCTTATTCATACATTGCAAATGTCGTTATTTATTCATTAAAATGAAGTAAGATGAAAAGAATAAAGGGATTAATTATGCGCACAAAAGTGACCGGTCTCGATTTTTCAGTTACTCTCACCTCAAAACGGTCATCAACATTACCACGGCCATTAAAACCTAAAATCACAATCGATTTCATCCAAATGCAGACACGGGGCCATCTGAACTATAGGGCTCACACTCCCCTCTTTGGACTGAGCCTGAAAATACCTATCCACTAGCAATGAACTCTTGCACAATCCCATACAAGCGGGGTTATGAATCATTGGAAAGCAATTTTTCGCCTCCGGACTTGTGTTCTGAATTTTCCGGACTGGTATAATTGATATTTCACATGAAGTTAGTCTGCTTTGTTTGAACAGTTTTACAGTTTGCACGTAAATTGTACAAGAATAAAGTAAGGGCAATTAAAAAAGTCAACTTTTATTGTTTCTTATTATATTCGTTGACTTAGAAGACATTGTTCCATCTTTAGAAATTGTGGAAAGATTAGCAGCTTCGGTGGGGTTTTGGACACTTACATGAACGCCGCCTGCACATTTCAGACAGCGTCCGTCCGTCCAACGAACTGAAACATCAGGTCCGACAGATGAAACTGAGCTCATTTTCGCAATTCGGTTCGAATCCCTCCGAGGCCGATGATTTCCACGATCCCGGTTCAAATTTAAGATTATTGTGTCTGTTCCGCAATCAGTCAAACAACATAATTGTTCCAGATTGTTTGATGGTCTTCTTTTTCTGTTGTTAGGTGGTTGCGGAGGTGTACTGCGTGATGGAGCCTGTGTGTACAGCCCGGAACATCCTGCAAAAGTACGCAGTGGGGATTTATGCGCCTGGCGATATTATGCTCCAGAAGGTTCTCACGCATACTTCAGTGTGTCCAGTTCCATAGTAAGAAATTACCACATACTTAATGCAAATTTATATGCATAAATTTGTAGAAATATTTGCAGGAACGTTGCTAAAGTTAGTGTTTGTTTCGAGCCGGTGGAGGGAGATCGTTTTTGCAGGAGGTCTGTAAGCGTATATATGCTATCAATGGTTTACAACAAATATTAGGAAAGTGATATGACAAAATGTTTAATACATACTTTATTTAGGATCTTGGTGGTAGTACTCATCAGATCACTCACAACCGGTAATACTCAATAATATGTTACCTACTTAGTCCCAATACTGTCATTTCCATAATATATTTCCTACATGTTTTCCCTCAAATCATTCGATCCGCATACTTAATTGGTTTGCGCGACGTTGATCCTGCGTACCTTGGAAAATTCAATTTTGTCCGTCAGATTCCATTTACTGTATAAGTTGCGGTTAACATCATCCAGTTCACTATTTGTAGCAGTTACTAGCATAAATGGAAGTTGAAACCACTTGCGTAGTAGGACATAACTGGATGTTCAATGCTAAAATGATGACTATATCAGACGTTAGTAGGTGGATGAGATAACCTCGACCAGGTCTAAAACCAGTCTGATTCCCACGAGTGCACTTCTCACGTGCCGCAGACAATCGACGGAGTATTATCTCAGCGAGAAGTTTAGAAGCACTATTGATTGAACAAGTGGAACAAGTGGTTAGGATATGTGTTACGCATGTCACCAAATAGATTGCCACGGCGCGTGATGTTTATTGATTTAGGTGGTGAGTGAAACAAAACAAGGATGGTCAAGCTAAGACCTAGCACGATGGGTATGAAAACCCCAACCAGGAAACTCGATCCAATAGTTCGTCTTAGGCTCCCTGTCTGGGGACCTCGAGATCAATGAGTAAACATTGAATGATGTAGCTCAATTTCTTATCTGTGGTATGCGTGCATCGTCTGTTTTCTTACAGCATCATCCCACTGAAATTCTCCATTTTCTCCTTTACTCTACTTTTAGATCTCCTGTCTTTCTCCTAGTCCTTCATCCTGAGTTCTATTTAAGACTTCTGTAAGCACATCTCTCAGAAGATGTAAGATACACGCCAGACATTGAACCCTAAAAGCTAGTTCTAGGGTGCTTGAGGTAAATGCATGCTACATCGTGCACGGACAGAATCAGAAGAGGTTCGATCACTTGTCTGGTGATGAACCAAGTAGAATTATTGAGTTCCATCTGCGAATTTCCCGGTTCAATCTTCCACCAAGTAGATCACTTCCAACTGTTGGTCAGACGAAACAATAACAAGTAGCTCTTCAGCCCACTATTGTTTTGCGTTGTATAGGACAGATTTCAGCATACAACCATTGGGATGAGTCGCACAGTGGTTATGCTCTTGCGTTTGTTCATTAGTACAGCTATCCTGTGAGCCCCAAGTCTATCTACCTATTTAACGGCTTAGAAGAGAAACCTCCACGTCGAACAATCTACCAAAGGAAATGACGTGACACCAAAGTTATGCATAGCGTCGTTTCGCGCATTTCGTGGAAAGGGCGTACATTGCTGATAGACAAATACTTCTCAACCGGACATTTCGCTGTATCAGTGGGACTAAGCTGGCCGGAAAAGATATTATTGTTAACTCCAACTGTATCTATTCACTTTAATGCAGTGAAACGTGTATAGGAAAGAGCACAACAATGTGTGAGCATATACTGAAATACATTGGTCTTCTCGTAGGGAAACTACCGTCCAATGCGATTGCACGACAGTTGTTCGACTCTAGTCACTACGTAGACGTAACCAAAACGTTCTCAGTCATTAGTAGACCGAGAATGTCACGGACTTCGTGATTTACAGAAGCGACAATTATTCATAAATTGAAACCACCAACTTGTGTTCGAAAAACATTTATGGCACAACAGTGTTATCGTCCAGGTAATGATTACGTCATGCTTGAGGCCACTTCATCATAGTGAGCGTGACGACCTTCTCTATCTCTATCACCATCACATTCACCACGAACCTGTTCATTTCCATATCATGATATATTATCAAATTTGAAGTTCAACCGTACACAAATCCAAATGGCACAACTTAGTTGTCCTCCACCACCATCGCGTTCAAGTGACTCATTTCAACTCTTTAGTTCTTTGGACATGATCGTAGGAATGTGCCTTTACGGTTGAATGAGAGCACACGAGCAATTGATAGCCATTATCTATTCTGTATTTTTGTGCTGATGGGCTAAAAACATTTTGTGTGTGAAGGCATGGTTAAACATTATTCAAAGTAGATCGATGAGAATAGGATCTCGTAAATATTAGGCCTGAATTCAATCATTCAAAATGGAGAATGGAGTTCTGGGTGGCGGGAGGGGGAGGATTGGGACTTGAACGCAGCTCCGGTAATGATAAAATCTAACCATGTGATACAACTATCGGTGAGTACAATGCCAAGTTATATACCATTTCAACTTCAAGCAAAACCGTTGTAATTTCAGGTGAATTCAATCAATCACCTTCTAAATGGGGACCGCACAAAGTGATTGGTGCTTCAGCCGTTACTCCTCATTGATTGGACCGGGTCTATCAAATCCCCGCCCGTAGACAAGCAAATTACTTTTTGAATAAGGTATAGATAGAGCCGGTATGAAACCTTCCGTGCGATTGATCGGGTTTGAATATTCGTCCCCAATCCCGGGCACATTATATCCAAGAACATTATTGGAGTAAATCTAAGACCAATCGGAGATGGTTTGCCTCGTTCCATCCTGAAAGAAATATTGATACCAAACCGAGTTATTCTGTCATTCCGTTGCACTGTTTGATCACGTTCACTGTTCATGCATGACATAATGAAGAATAAATAAAGTCCTTGAACTAAAACTGCACACTCGTGTGAAGAGAATATTGCGAATTACCATGAACTCAGGACTCTAAATTGATAATGGTTATAGCACTAATACACATCGGAACTATACCCGAGGTATTATTCCAAAGAGATTTAGGATCAGAATGATTGCCGTTCGCACAAATACAGTGTTTGTTAGACCAGTACTATTTGTTTCTGCTGGACAATCATCAAACTGTTTTGATCGATGAAACATGAAATCCGTATACGAGCATATTCAAACACGGTTTGTTACTTGTCTCCTGATAAAAAACTGGTTTGACAATGTCTGTTTCTGAATCTATCCTCGCTCGGTACAGTTGCGTGATCCAATCACTGTGTACGGTTACCTAAAACTGTACGACGGAAAGACAGAAAATGATCCGATTATTTCCAATATGGACCATACGATAAACGAGACGTTCGTGGCTAAAAGTGGCACACTGTTTCTGGTCTATCACGTTGAGGAACCGGCAGATGTGACCGGATTTTTCGGTTGCTTCAGAGCGGAAAATATGTGATACTGATGATGATTCTGATTTGACTATTGCGGACAAAGAAAGCAGCCAATCGTTTGGTGCGGATTACTAACAATTATATGCGTCCTGTCAAATGTTTTGTTACATACGATTTTCCAAAATATGACCGAACTGAAAGTTTTATTCCGAGAAATAATCATTTGTGCTGTGTTCTTTGTCTTCGTTTGTCTCCTTTTGTTTGTAAATTAAATCACAGGTGGCGAAGTTGTACCAGACATAGTTCAGGCTATTTGGAGTGAATAGAAAAAAAGCGAAAGACCACTAGTGTCGTGAGGTACTACTCACATTGATTAGTAATATAAAAATAGTTGTTGGATTCTTTCAGCGATCAAAAATTAACAAGACCGCTGAGGGCAAAATGCTCTCCCAAAGAATAACTACCGATTGCTCCATGCAGTACCCGGTGTGCTGCCAGGAATTGCGACAGTATATTTAAGATGAGATTTCTGGGTTATGTATGTCAAATTAGTTATATCCTAAATGTAATCTGCAGTAAACAAGTATTCTCGACCGAACACCACCTTGAGGAAACATAACACTAGCGATTAATCCAAAACCGCTGTCGATTTGAATACCTAACGCTATTACCCTGCTGTGATAGTTGAAATGGATACAGCTTACGCATCATGAATCCTGGTCCCTACTGAAGCACAGAATTCCACCATCAATCGTATGCTGAAATCTCCCGTCACCGAGACGTAAGAAAAAAAAAGCCACAGAAGTAGCGGTTCTTTTATTAAAAGAAATCAAGGAGATTGAATAATCGGCAAATAAAAATATCATTGCTCAAACGAATATTAACTGTTCACCACTCTCGGTTTTCAAGCCACACGCCTCCCGTTTGCACCGTCGGACCGTTGACTGATTGCTACTGTTGGTTCATGGCCAATTGTCCGGAAACTGGAACGTGCGGGCGCTTGGCCAGTATCCTCTTGGAGGTCTGATTGGTCACACTTTTTCATTTCAGTTTTCTTAGAAAGACGAAGAAAGTCATAAATTAGTTTTGTTTTGTGAACCGCTACGGATTTCGGAATTTCAAGACTTGTCAAATTTTCATCCAATTTATTCCTGAAATAACTAATTGCGGACACAGAAACAACGTGGGGTGATAGAGAATTCCAAATAGTGTACAATATGAAGGTAAATGGATGATACCAGCATTCTAGTCGACGGTTTAGGGGCATTATTCTGAATGAGTGCCCCATGAATGTTAGGTGATAAGGCGTACAGTGAACGTCATGGTTGATCAAGATTCTGCATGATTTGATGCAACAAAATCAAGTCCTCTCTAATTCCGCGACACTGTGTGGAGTACAGTCCCAATGACTCCCCTCTTTCTATCTAAGACCAATGCAGACCTTTGACCATCTCGATGGCCATTCCTTATGGATATTCCCGAATCTTACTATTGCGTTGCATCCATGAATTCCCCGCTTGAGTAGCATACTCCATGTGGAGTCGAATATAGGCTGGCAACAAACGTGGGAACAGCATAGGTTCGAATTTGGCAAATACTCCCCTTAGCAAACCAACATGTTTTGCAGTGGTGGACGACGCCCTAGAGCAGTTTAAGGAACAACTTGGATAGCCTTGAACAGTAACACAGGGATTCTTCCACTCTGAGGTATACGGAAGTTGTTGGTATCCCAGGAAGTACGGAAACCGAGTTAGGTGGCTAAGGGATACTACGGTACAGTTTGATGCATTGAATTTGATATCGTTTCGATCAACCGTAGGTAAGCAGCATTGAGTGATCTCTGGAGCGCTAGTGAAACCTTGAGTTTTGTCACTGTTTTCCAAATTTTCTATCGTCAGCAAACATTGACGTTTGTGGCCCTAGAATTTTCATTAGATGGTTTACAAAAACTTACAAAGTTGATCGTCAAGTGTGGATCTCTGTAGAGCACTTCTAGCTACGTCAGAAAGTAATCCAGAAACCTGAACCCTCATGATGCATTGTCGAAGAAATTCTTCGACCCAACCCAGTAAAATCCTCGAATTCCTCAGCAGTATTTTGTGGTTCACTTGGTCGAATGTTTTGCAGAAGTCCAAGTAGACTACGGGTATATGCTGAAATCACAAACCCTAATGGCTACTGGCACTATCACTTTTATGTGAGTAGTATGTTTTTGTACACATGAGGAGCTGCCGGTGATTTCCGCGATTTTCGATAAAGAAAAAAACATTGCGAAGAAGATCAATGGTTTCGATATTGTCTCAACAAATGATTCATATAGACTATTTAACTGGTTTTCATTAATTGGTTGCCAGTTTGTTTTATATTGAACTTTCATAAATATACATACATATATATGTCTATGTATACATATTTACATATATATATGTATATATATATATCTGTATATATATATATATACATATAAATATCACGAGCATCATTGGTCGAATCTTCAATGTCCAATCGACAAGGATATGGTTTATTTGTTTACCTTCGTGCATTCAGCCAATTCGGTTGTTACCAGTCGAGACCACAGGATTGGTCGATTATTCCGTTTCTTGATTGGTTACCTCGACGCTGTACCGTGGTGCGTGCGTACTCATCACACGATCACAACAATGTCCCGTCCTATGAAACCAGAATACCCCTGTATTGAAATTACTATTTCGGTGATCACCAGTTCCTTAGGTCATTTTCACCGGGGCCCCATCACACATTCGGTCTGTAGAACGAAAGAATACAATCCTCTGGTGCATTTTAGAATGCTACGTATGTGGGGGTTAACCTGAGCCAGACAGTCCATCTAATCGGGATTCGTGCTAAGTCAAATGAATCAGATCGTGAACCAGTGATTCAATTTTGTCTATTTAATGCAGTGACTTGTTTCGGGCGTTTCTTCCATGTCACAAATGAACCAGGATTTGATTACCGCTCTACTGGCGATTGTTCTCAAACTCGATGTAAATTGAAATTGTTTACCATTTGGATGAAGAATGCATTTTACCCGGAGTGATTACTGCCATCTAAAATATTTGGTAAGGCTCGTTTTGGAAATGTTTTGGAAATGATTTGTGGACGTTAGTCATCGAATTTCATGTATGAAAACCCCAGGGAGATTACAGAGTTAGTAGTTCCTTTTTGCCACACAAGAAAAGAGTAAGATTATAAGCGCCTGGAAGCAAGGAGATCGAAAGAGTGTTCTACAATTTCACAGTCCTGGGGAAGAAAGGTGACTATAGAAAATAGGTTCGACATCTGGGGACAGAAATCTGATAAGGGTGACTACCAGCCTGGGAACGAGATGGACGAGAAAATGTCAACGGGGCGGAAACCGCCGAAGTGAGTTCGGAAAAGCAGAAACCAAAAGTACCAATAAACCAATAGTAATAGTAGTAGCAGCACGATAGGTGAATGTGGAAATAAAAGCGGACCAACAGAGAGAAGAATTTACGGATAAACCCAGGAGAGTAAGAGCATTTATGGAACGAGGGGGCAGCGAGTAAAAAATCAACTGAGGAGAGAGACGGAGAGGAGATAGGTTTTGGAAGCATTGAAACATACACGGTTGGTAGAACCCCATGCGGAGATGAAGCCGAGATCGAAGGCAAGGGAGGCACTAATGGCATTACGATCGTGATCTATGTTGGTAGCACCTTGACGGAGTATGGAGCAAGAAAGAGAACAATTGAGAGCGTCATCATCAGTANCGTTGATAAATAAACGAAATGGGTTGAGCGAAAGTGTTGTATAGAGACTGTTGCTGAGACTGCTATCGCACCACCAACTTCTGAGCCGAAAAAGAGAATACAATCAAAATGGCACAGGACAGTATATTAGAAAAAAGTGTCTTCTTTTGCTTGTCTTTTTATCGTTGGCATTCTTTCTTTTTATTGCGTTCGGTGCGTTCCAAACGTTCGGCATAAATTGACCAATCAGAGTCGTCGGACCGCCCGACTGACTACGCTGTCCGACCAATCAGGAATGTCGGGCCGTCCGGGTGAATACAGCGATCGATCATTTGCGGGCGGGAGACTCGCCCGGCTGTGCATTTTTCTTCTTGGCTATTATCGCCAAACGAATGAAGTTTTCGACCGGATTTTTTTTGGAATTGAACCTTCCTGACAGAAAGCATGGTACCTTGGAGAACACCGGCGTTCACAAGAAATGGCCGAAGTAAGACCAATTCTACTCGGACGGAGATGGTTCGCTTGCTGAGGGAACATCGGAGCCACGATACCAGAGACGGGTGGAATCCGAACGTTGGTAATTTGACAGCAGACTTTCATGCCAAACGCAGTCGAAGGCCTTTGAAATGTGGAGTGAGACCATATGTGTTTCCCCGTAATTATCAACTGCAGTCGATCAGGAAAGTGATGTGCGCGCCAGTAGGTCACATGTAAATCGACTAGGGCGAAATCCATATTGGCAGTCATTCAACAAACCTTCGCGTTCGAGAAACGTACATCGTTGGTCGGAGACAATGGTTTCAAGCACTTTTGAAATTACAGGCATGAGAGTGGTGGGACGATAGACATTGGGATCGAAGGGGTCACAACGAAGAGTTTGGCGGACCTTTCTAGTCATTATGACCGGTGACCGGAGTGACTGGATCTATGGGAGGAGAATTGAAGAAGAGAGAAAATAGATAAGATCGAGTTGGAAACAAATCGGGAAGCAAAGATCCCTTCTTTTTGTGAGGTTCACAAACAAGAGGAATTGAAAATGGGAGTAAATCTGGAGGGGCAGAGATTACTTGATACCCCTTTAGCGAGGGACCAGAATGTTCGGTTACTGGTGGCAGAAGAACGCATGTGTGCAGCTTTGTGATAAATGAAGTTTTGTTTCGCTGTCTCTATGGTGAGTGAGCATTTGTTTCTGGATTGCACGGTTGCGAAATGTTAGATTAGGTGAGTGGCCCCAACGACGGAGGGCTGAGTTTTACACCTACAGCACGGTTTCAGACATGAGAAAACCACTAAGGGGATCGTGGTTTTCCTGGTTTGTAAAACTTTGAAATATACAG